ATTCCCACTGACATTCCGACGCTTAATCGGCCTATACCGGGCTTATGCGTAACGGATTTGGAAACCAACAATTGGCATGGGTGGATAGTCACAGGGTTTATTGCGGTCGGTACATTAGGACATTTGAGTCTATTCACACAGAGGATAGTATCAACAATGTTCGAAACTTTCAACAAATCGACGCGGATTTAAAAGACTGTATTTAAAAGAAAAAGTAAATACTTATAGTTTGTATACATATTATTACAGTTTAAGTAGTATTGTTTAGAATCACTAATAATGAGCTTTATCCAACACTGTTAATACAATAATATTCATAATAAATTGTTTTTTTTAATCAATTTAATATATTATTATCATAAAAATTACTAAATAATAAATGTCTTTATATTGGGTTTTTTTTCAAATATTTTATGTCTCTAATAAAATATGTATTAAATAAGTTACTTTGTAAACATTTTAAAACGTTGAAGTGTACAAGGAATATAAGCTTGTAAGTTATAAATATAATAACTTTGCCCTAAAAAAACTTCCAAGTTCCATTTGGATTGTCCTGGACGTTTCTTGAACTCAACAAAGCCTAATCTGGGAAATGGAGCGTGAAACACATTGGGTAAAATATTATGTATAAAATTGTTTAAATTAAAGTTCAATTGCCTTTTTTTGCATATTTTTTTTCACCACTGCCGTATTGCTTAATCGGTTGGCAAAACGATTATACGAAAATCATAATACCCGTTGGTGGCTTATTTGACAGTATTTATAGCGCATAAAACGATTATCCGTTATACCCCATTATTCTGTACAAGTTGGTTCACAAAATTCATGACGCTAAATCGATGCGACGAGTGCAGCTCTCTCCCTCTGTATGACATAGGTACACATAATAATAATATAAACTAGAAATATAACATGATATTGGAAACTTCCGCGAATTTTATGGATCGTTAATTATCCGGGGTCGTAAATTTCTGATGAACAAGTTTAATAAAAACAAATCGAAACGCTTTGGCTTTCAATAAGTGTATTTAATAGATATATCTATGTATAGCTGTAAACATTTTTAAATTTTTTTATTTATATACGAATATCACAAATTTATTACCTATTTATAATGACGATTATATGAATAGTATGTCCTATATAGGACACAATAAAGAAATCCTATTACTAGCAATTTAGTTGTTTCTGGAATATGTCTTCGAATCGGCATTTATAATATATATTTACATTTTAAATGAAGAAAAAATGGTAAATCGCATATCTAGATCGTTGTATACATGTTCTATAATGTGTCTGGATAGGAAAATATTAAGCATTAATGAGATGGAATTCCGCTGAATTTCTATTATATATACAAAATACAAATGAGTATTAAACATATATTTTTTAACGTTGCAGTTCTGACGACCATAAAATACATTTTATTATTTAAGGATTTTGAACCGAAACTTACCAATCATATTGTTTCTCGATTGTTTCCCATTACAATATTGTATACAATGTCTTACATTTGAATAACTTTGTTTGAAACATAACTAGCTAATTAAATTTATAGGGAAATGTAAGGATTTATGATTGGATACATTCATAGTAAAAAGCGTATTTGACTGTACGCGAACTACCGACACTATTTAGGTTAAGTACACTATCTATCAAAATATTTCATACCACGAACGTGACCTTACAAAATTTTTACAAGTTTACATATATTATTAAATATAAGATGTATCTCATATGTTTGAGATATTTTTATTTTTTTGAACATTTTAAAGAGCCATATATTTTAAAGATACCATCTGAATCTCGTTTTAAACATTTTCGTTCACACTGTTTCAGTAACCCATCGCATTCTACATTATTATTTTTTTTGCGACACAACATTTTTATCTGTCAGAAGACAAAAATAATTTTTCATCTTTTTAGAACTTTTCGCATATTTTTGTATCGGCAATCAACAAATGTAACTTTTTAATAAATAGTAATATGCATATAACGCTATATTTCAATTTCTTGTTGATCAGTAAGTTTACTCTAATTATTGTTACTATTATTATTATTTATTTGTAATATAAAATAATTTAGTATAAATATGTATTCTGAGTATAGTGTATAGAGTTCTTTATTTCAAAACAATTTCTTTTTTATAATTAACATTCCAAGTTCAAAATTCCAATTGAAATATTTTCAATTTAGATGACAACTTCATTATAGAACATTTATTTTCAATTATTTTTCACAAAATTGAAAGCAATTTAGCTCGACATAAGTAAGATAACGCTAAACAAGTGTTATAATGCAATTTAGTATCACCGTGAATTTATACACTTTATTTAAATTATTATTTTGATCATACTTATTAACTATTCTTCACTTTATAATGCCATACTTGATAAGTTTTTCCATTTTAAATTAAAATATTGAAGTATTTTATCTGTATACATATCATTGCCTTACATAATATTACTTCGATTTACTTATTAATCATAGCTTTTTAATTGTGCAATTATAATGACGGAATAAAACTAACCTTTTATTGTATGTAAGGTTTTTTTAAAAGGAAATCAAATTTTTACAACGTAATATGGTTTTGATTAATATATAAATGTGGAAATAATTATTTGGTTAATATTTGACATTAAAATACCACATATTAATTTTTTTTTACAAAAGAGCAGTATTGACATACGATCTTTTTTGGTATCAAATATTAAAAGTTAATTTTATGATTATAATATATTATTTTGGTCACTTATTTTTCTCAAGAAAAACATTAAGTAAATGTTCACTAATAATTATTTAAAGATTGGTTTTTACTTTTGGTAAATTACAAAATGTAATATTAATGATTTTTATAAAAACCACTTAGCTCAGTACACAATTTACTAGACATAATGATATATAAGTACGTCATCCATACAAATCAAAATTATTTAAGATAAAATGAAATATTTTTAAGTGAATTTTATTAAAATAGATTAACCGATGATCCAACGAGGTACTCAACAATTATTATACTCTAAAAGAGTATTGAAGAGTAATGAGAATAAAATGAGAAAAAGAAAATATTATATTTAAAAGAAAATATAAATGCCTCAAGCGGTCAAACTGGAAAACCGATAGACGGAAAAAGACCGTTTCAAATTTGAGACGTCATCATGAAGATTAGCCAACAAACTTATTGTGTATACAGCCGCTGGACATTTATACGAAAACATTTTTTTTATTAAAAAAATAACTTTGTGCATTCTTCGGCCACATTGTGAGCATCGACTCACAATGAAACTGTTGATTAAATTTTCAAATATGAACTAGCATATAATATACAATATTTTTTATTATGGTCCATGGATAAATCGAACGTGAATGATATTCTAAAAAAATATATAAATACCTATCTATTAACGTTTAAAAATATATATTTTTTTATAGAATTCAGTTATTTTCGTGAGATTTATAAAAAAAAAATAATGTTTTTGTATGGCGATCAGATAATCGCGTTCAACTTGATGGCAAAATCGGAAACCTGCGTTTTGTTTATTTGCATCTGTAATCTATTCTGTAATACCGACGATACCTATTATACTTGTGTTTGATCGGAACGGAGTAGGCGTATAATTATATATATAAATAAAAAAAACGATTAAGAATCGTCTGGTTGAATCTCGAACGGCAATAAAATACGCATTTAAATAATTAAAAAAAATTACAAATATTTTTCGCTGGCAGTTAAGTAATAATATTATCAATAAAATTGCTACAACTCGAAATCGAACGTATATTAATTAAAAATAAAAACAAACCTTATTTCTATGGACTACCTGCAGATTTAGCTGTACGATTAGATGTACACCAGGATGTAAGCATTTTACACATTACACGCCTTATTTTTTTTTTTCATATTATATTATAATTTACGGTTATTGTAAAAATTAATATTTATAAATTGTGTAGGTATATCGTCAAGTAAAAAATAAATAAAAACTATTTTTACGCTCAAACTGGTGCATTTTATCAAATGCATTTTTAATTTTGAAAGAAAACAACCGAGCTTATATTATAGTGATTATTAGCTTTTCAATAACCGGTATTTATAGGCGGTATTGAAAAATTCGCCAGGATGCAAAAACTGATTAAAAATATGAGATATGCACATATAATATAATATACCTGTGCAAAGAATTTTCTCGTGTTGAAAGTATGTTATCCGTAACCAATTAAGACAATTTCCTGTTTTTAAGTGTACATTTCAGAATATTAAATTATTGGACTCGAGGGGAGTTATTATGATTGAATTTTTTTTTTTACTTTACAACAATATTTTAAAACCGATTTGTTATTATTCGTTAGGTAATTAAATATTACATCGGGGCTTGCATAGAAATCGAGATCGAACGTGAACAAAATATAATATCTTAATAACAAATATATTATCATATTACACAGTGCGTCACATTGGTCCAAATCGCAGGGGTGCTTAGCACCCTAGAACCCTAAGTTTTCCACCCCAAATCCCGCGATTTTCTTAAATAATAATGAAAAATCTTGGACACGTACCACAATATGGGTCAAAATACACACCTAACGGACTTATAATTTATCCATGCGCCGAAAGAGATATAGTCCTCAATAATGAATCCGTTTTAAATACAAATTCGGAAAATAAGAGAACTTCGTGTAGTATAAATGTATAATATTATAATTACTTGCGAATAAATATAAATAATTTGTTTTGCATAAAATGTTGCCCATAAGTCCTTGATTTAAATTTATAATTTATTTTATTAATAGAGATATCAAATGTAACTGTTGGGTATTCTGTGAGTGTGATTAGCTACTCCGCTCATGGGTCTGATTCCTCAGTAAAATTTGTTGTTGGGGAAATTTCCGCCTATTGTGCAGTAGTCGAGTACAGCTCATACACACGTGTAGTGGAAAAGCTGACGGAATTATCGTATACATAAATAATAATTATATTATATCATATAATATAGACTGACCTATCGATGGGCCGGGGCGGTGGAGGCACGAAAGACACGGTGGACATTTGCTGGAGTTCCATGACCGTGGCCCTGCCGCCGCCGCCACCGCTACCACCGTTGATGCCAAAGGCCGAAGCCGAAGAGGACTGCTTTTTCGTCGCTCCGTACAGCTGTCGGTAATACTTTTCCTGATCTCCGTACATCCAACACACTTTCCACCATTGGCGGCACATCAACACGTTCGACGACGGCGTCTTGTTTGCGGACCCGGCGGCGGCGGTAACGGACGACGAAGACGACGCGACAGTCGAGGCGGCCGCGGTGGTGGTGGTGGTCATCGTCACTTCGCGATAAACCGAGACGCCCATCCCGAAAAACGGAACCACCGGCGGCGTCGAAAATGCAACCGCGGTTGACGCGGCGGATCGGGAAATTAACGGAAAATTTTTCCTGATGGACAGGCCGGTGCACAAGGTACGACGGACGTGAGCGCGCGCGCACTATACACGCGCCAGAAAAACGGCGAAGACGAATCGACGGCGATACAACCCGTTGCAGTGCTCTGCAGGCTACCGGTCGGTCTCGGACACTGGTCCGCCTCGCCGCCACCGAGCACGGTCGCCTCGCAGCCACCGCCGCGCCGCCCGCCTCCTCATCGGCCGGTCTCGAGCCGCACACGGTTCGCCGTCGGAGTGGTGTCGGTAGAGGGGTGGGGGGAACACCGGCGGCGACTCGGCTTGCGATCGTCGTATCCTTTTTCCTTACGACTACCTATATGAGGTGAGTGTGTGTATGTTGTTATACCGGGTGATCCATTTGACGCGTAAGACACTCTTAATGGTTTTTGAAAATATATTATTTCGTTTTACATCAAATTTTTGAAAAAAACAACAGTACAGAAAACAAAAAATATAGATATTATTACTATTTTCAATGTATTTTTAATTTTGTTAACGTGCATGTTCGATTCCTTATTCCAGAGCAGAATATTTGTTGATGCTCTTCCAAATAAAAATCGAATTTTGGACGAGTTATAAGTATTTAAAGTTTAGATGAACGGAGCGGAGTAGTTCCGGGACGGGGTACCCCGTAAATGCAGTTGGTCCACTACTCCGCGTATCTATAAACTTTAAATACCCATAAGTTGAAACCGATAAACGGTTTGTCCAAAATGTGATTTTTATAGATCAAAATATACTCCATATAGTTTTCTTTTTCGGAGTATGAAATAAAAAATGTATCCTGTCGTTTCAATGAGTACAGAAAAACTTAAAAACGATGAAAATCCAACTTTTCCTAAAATTTTATTTTTTAACGGCTTAAATTTTATTCAAACGAAATATTATCAAAAACGTTAGAGTTTTCTGAAATAATGAGTGTCTTGTGCTAAATGGATCACTCCGTATAATATAGGTTGTGTGGTTCGACGGCAGTAAAATTAGACGGTCCGTTTTATATACACGTGTAGGTACGCGGGCGCGTGTGCGTGTGGGTCGCGTGTTTTATAATAACGTTATATTATATAAAGTGGTGGTGCGCGAGACTCCTCGGGGCTAAATGAGAGAATATTCAGGTATTTTTTTTCTCTTTTTTTTCTCTATTTTATTACGTTTTTTCATCCTTTTTACCGGCGACGACGGATTTCGTACAGCAACAACAACAAAAACAACGACATGCGGTCTATCTCGCAGTGCGTGTAATACACAAAAACCACGCGAACGCACTGCACCACACAAGTAAACCCGAGAGTATATTATTATAATATAGATGTTTGCTTATTTATTTACTTGCTTATAAGTTATGTTATTAAGTCCAAATAATTTTATAAATTAGACAATCACACCAAACGTTCGTAAACAGTAATAGGATTATGAGAACAATGCGTTTTGAGGTACAAATCTATGAATTAAATAACATTGCCAAGTACGAAATTACACTACATTTTTGAAGGCGAAAAGTCTATACAGAAAGTATAAATTTGATCGAAAATTACGTGCAGGAGAACCTACACTGCAGTTTTGAGTTCAGGACAGATACAAGCGGAGAGCACTAAGAATGCGGGTCCCTAAGGTAAGGAACGTTTAAAACGAGGGGAATCGTAAGAATTTTTGCTAAATGTTTTTTCTAGTGCACATTTAAGACTCGAGAAATAGTATTATGATTGAGCCATATTCACAAATTGGACGTACCAAGTAAATATATTTCATAACACGACAATAGGAGCTGGGCAACAATTAACCGCGATGATACCGCTACAGAGTGCAGGTACCTATACCGCGTTTAATACTCGTACACCTCAAAGATATGTGATAGGTACCTATATAATATAAGATCTTGTGTCGGGTTGCTAGGGTCGAGGGGTTACACGACGATGATCTCGGGGTGGCGTGAGTCGGGTTGTGAGGGACTGATGGGGTTGATGGTGGCGGAGGGTAGGTTTTTTTTCTCTCCGTACAATCAGTGGTTCTCAAAACAAGAGCGGTTTAATATCAAATTTTTTTATCGTTACATGGCGAGGTGGACGATGACACCGCGTGTACCTATATTAATATAACATCGACCGGGCACGTTCCACGCGGAATTCCTCGGGCGAGACGTTCCGGCAATAATTCGACTGTACTCGATAATATTATAACCACTACGACCGTCCGCCGTTCATAATTCGGCCAAATTAACCGACTCGGCGTAATTGGAATGCCGTCTTAACGAGTCGTAATGCCATTTCAATTACGGCGACGACGACGTGAGGTTCAGACGACGACGGCGGCCGTCTTTTCACAATGGAGATTTTCGTCGGAGACGTGACAAATATCCTATTACGAGACGATGTTCCGCCTAAAACGCGTCTGCCGCATTATAATAGTATAATTCCGTGAGACGTAATTAACGTTTTCTACGGTGACATGCAGCACGGATTTACGACTGCACACCGGTGATAATAATTATTATAATGGTCTTCTCGTTCTTACGCCGTCAACGATATTTCGGATGTGTGTATTTTGCAATAGAAAGTATAATATAAACGAAAATAAAATGTATTATTTTCCGATGGTTTCATATAATATATATTATAATAAAATATTATATCATACAACGTTACAATCATACGCCCAATGCCAATAGACGAATATTATGATAGAGCTGAAGAGTATGTGTTTGGACGCGACAACCTCAGAAACTACAACTGTACCGATTACAATAAAATGGCATATAGGTATCAATAATAGATCCCTTGAGACTTGTTCGATGTTTCTATTTCCAACCTCTACAGGTTGCTATAGGGTGGTCCACTAGTGAATTTCGTTTTCAAAAATCGAAAATTTTATTGTACACAATAATATATACAATATGGTTGCCATTGGTTACAAAAATAAAACCGAAATCAAAAACAATTTGTTTAAAGACTGCACCTACTCGCCATGCGTTTCCACGGGACTTATTTTAAATACAGTTAAATAATATTAAATGTATTATTTGTTATTCAAATGTACAACAAAAAGCGCAATGTCCTTATGTTTGTAACTTTTATACTCAAAAACTAATCTACAGGTTTCGACGAAAGTTTCAGAGATTGTTCTTAGAGGTATCAGGAAAGTTAAGAGAGTAGTTTAAACTATGTTTGAAAATATAGCAAGTGCTGTGTCGAATTCGCGAAGGTCGGATCTCTGTCGAATTATTTTACAAAACGAACTACACCGATGCTGATTTGTCCGTGAACTGAGGTACAATAAAACCGAGATACACTGACATAGTGCTGTTTTTAGGGTTCCGTACTGTAAAACAGGACCCTATTACTAAGACTCCGCTATCCGTCCGTCCGTCTGTCACCAGGCTGTATCTCATGAACCATGAAAGTTAGAAAGTTGAAATTTTCTCAGATTATGTATTGATGTTGCCTCTATAACAACAAATACTAAAAATTCTAGAGTATATAATATAAGCAGGGTTGCCAACATGTTTATAGCTGATGATGGTACGGAACCCTTCGTGCGCGAGTCCGACTCGCACTTGGCTAAGGCTCTACATATAATGCGTATGCTACGCCACCATTTTGAGACTCATTTATCAATGATAAAATAAAGGGGGAGAAATTCTAATTCACATAAGATTATTAGTCCCAAAATGGAGGAGTAGCATACCTGTATCTATAGTGCCCTAACTTGGCGAGTATTTTTATGTTTGTTAATTTTTCCCAGCCAAAGACTAGGTTAACAGCTAATATTATAAATATAATATGATTAGATGGCGATTTTAGTAATTATTCATAATTTTAACTTCATAGATTTAAATTGTAAACAACTATTCAACTACTCGATTTTGTATATAATATTACACTATATTATATAAACAATATATATTTATTCATATCGATATTTTAGTTAAATGTGAGAAAAATGCATCGTAGTTATATTAAACTGTATGAGCTAATCAATCAAAACAATTGTTTTTCTTTATTGTAATTACATTTAATATATTTTTATACGACTAATATTTACCATATACATTTTTATTTTAAATTGTGAACTTGTGGCCCCATGCTCGTTATATTCTTAAAGAATAAATAAAAAATATATATAATATTATACTACAATTAATACCAATTGATTGGTTTCTATCTTTATCGATTATCAGAATATCTTAAACCAAAATATGTTTAAAATTATCGATTACAAAATATAATCATTATTTATTGTTGGTATACCTCTATTACATTTATTTGGGGTGATCAACGATAATAAATTCAGTATCACAACCTAAGTAGATCAACGTAATTAAATAACAGAAACCATTAAGGGTTATTTTATTATACGAATTTTATATTTTATTCCTAAGATTAAATTTTCAGCATCAAACATAAAAATGTTATTTTAATTTTAAATTTAGAAAAAACTTACAATATGCACAAAGAAGATGTTATGCAATTCTAACGATTTCTATTTAATTAACAATTTATTATTTCAAAGCAAAAGTTAAATACAGTAAAAATTTCTGCTGGATTAAACTATCTTTACGTATTTAATTAAAATATATCTTGAAATTATGTTTGTGACAAGTGCAAATTTTGAACATATTTTACTTATTTTATTATGTATAGTAACTACCAACTACTTTAATATTATAATAAGAATCATGGTAAAAGTGAGACGTGTAGGTACAAAAATATTTTTAAGTTTTACAACAGATATAAAATATTAATAACACAACAATTCATTTATTTATTATATGATCTTTTTAAAAAATATTTTTATTCACCTAAATGTGTATACTTCTAAAACGTTTCACTATCTACTTTACTTTTTATACATATTATTAAATGTATATTTGTAGGTACATATATTTTTTTATTATACTAGAATAATAATATAAA